TCTTTATAAGAAAAATTTCACATGACATAATAAGGTTAAGGACATATCATCGTTTTTCAAAAACCAGGTCATTATCTTTTTGTGATTAAATGTAATGATGAAACATGTGTAAATAAGTTCACAAATAATATTAAGGAGATTATATGGTATCACATTTTATAATGTTTAGGGGATTATATGGTATCACATTATTTATAATTTATTAGTTAATAAAATAACATTTGATATGAAATATTTATAGAGTAAATTATATGGTATCCCATTATTAACTATTCGTGCTAAACTAACATAGCATAAGTATTATTATGTTTCTTATTATCTAATTAACAGTTTCTAGAAAATATTTACAAGATTTTAATACTCTCCAAATGCTATTTAATCAATTTTCTCATATGAAATTTTTGATAACTCAATGGCATATAAAATATATTTTAAAAAATAATATATATATATATATATAAAATTAATATAATTTATTTAATAATATAAAAAAATTATGTTCATATTGAAAAAGTAATTTTATATTTAAAAATATAGTTTGCAACTAAAATATTTTAACTTATTCAAAGAATAATACTTCACACTTAAATTATAATTAGATTTATATAATTAAATATGATTAATTACTTTTAATAACAAAGCCATAAAATATTATCTATTTATATATAATAAATACAAATATATCTATATTATTTAAAAATAAAAAAAAATTATACCATATATTAATTTTATGATAATTTTATATATGAATCATTTATTATTCTATCAATCATATTATTAATATAAATGAGAGTATACAATTTTTGCAGCATGTTGTTTTTATAGAATGTTGTTTTATCATTAGCTTTACCAGTCAAGGTCTAAACCGTTGGCTCATCACTCAAATGATGACTCTCTCATTTACACTTCGTTCAAATATTTCGTTATTATCCATCCTCTCCCACCCTGATAGTGATTGCTTCACATGTATTTTTATAAAATTTATGAGCTTGTGTTTTTTTCTTTATGTTTATGTTCTTTATTGCGTTTCATAAGAGATGCCAATTTTGGGAAGAAAAGTACATTTGAAAAATAAAAATATATATAGCCATCCAATATAATTATGGAAGAATTGTGAAAAAAAATTAAGCAAAATCATCGATTAGCTTTTAAATAAAAACTAGATTTCGACCCGCACAACCGTACGGGTATTTTAATACGAAATATTTGAAATTATATAATAAAATTTATCAATAAATATATATAATTTGATTATGTATACTATCCAATTTTATAATAATATTTGTGTGACTTATAATATTATTAATATAAAATTTATAAATTTGTGTTTTTGTAACAATTTTTATAATATTATTATGTAACATTACTAATTTAATATTTTGTTTTATTTCTAAATTTGAAATATATGTAAAAATTAAATTAAGTTGGACCTACATAATACATAAACAAAATTTTGGGATATTTTAAAACGTATTTTACATAATTTTAATTTTTTGTTTATAAAAAATGAATTAAAATTTTAATTATATTTTATAATAATTAAAATTTTAATTAAATAATTGTTGAAACTATATCTTGAAAAGATTCTAAAAGATTTTTAAAAGATTTTGTTAGAATTTTCTTAAAACTATTTATTTGTATTTAAAATAAAATTAAAGATGTGAAAAGATATTATATTGATGTTATGTAAAATTTTATAAATTTCTAAGGATGATCCAAATTAAAATATCACACATGAAGTGAGTCATGACTTGTCTTTTAATATAATAGATACAGCAAAATTAAGAGGATGTGGTCCGAGACCTTTGTGATTGAGTGGTAAAGAGATGGATTTGGATTACCAATATGTTTTGAATTTGATCCATCTAATACGTGATATTATAACACATTAATCGCAGATAGACACATATCTGAGTTTTCTGTATACAGTTGCAGATCGGAAGTCCGTAGACTACCCACTCTTTAAATCAGTCTGAACCATATGAGATTTACCTTGAATCATAAAAAAGATCAATAGGATGGTGTATGTGGATAAAACAAGTACGCCAAATATGTTTTCATCGCTTGAACATCATCTCACACCAAATCCCAATATATTCATCCATACAATTTATAATATAAAAATAAAACCAGTTGAGTCTACATTAAAAGTCATCTCTAAGTTTTAAAGTTTCTAAAAGGAAAAAATTGTCATTTAAATCACCAACTTTCAAATTTAGTTGAAAAAAGTATAAATTTTGTTTTGGCCATTTAAAATACTAACTTACTTTGAATATACATTTTAAACATCAGTTTAATTTGACTAAACCAGATTAAATTCAATGTTAGTTCGGGTAACGGATTGATTTAACATATTTAATCACTGTTTCTAATCTCTGTTAAATCCAAAACGACATTGTTTTGAAATTTTTTAAAAATATTGTATCTGAAAGAAATCGAACATGTGACCAAAGCTATACTCATTGTTAAACCGAACCACTGGACCACTTATATTTTCGCTAACTTCGGAGAAATACTAAAAGATATTATTATTGAATCTACAAATCATTTCTTTGTTCAATCAAAGAATAGTAATTCGAACTAAAAAAAGAAAAAATTGACCAGAAAATCAAGCATAAACAAATTTAAGAATCCCACAGAAATGCTAGATTATTATCCTACGTAAACAAATTCAAAAACCCACCCCACTGTTTTGCAAAAAAAAAAAAAAAAAAAAAAAATCTATCAAAAATCAAGTGTAAATAAATTCACAGAGAGATTAGTATCTATACATACTCATAGGTGAATCCGTGGATGAAAGAAGTGAAGCAGAGACTCATGGAGAACATGCTTGAGGAGAAGGGACTCGGACGAAGAGAGGGTTCGTGATCCACCATTCAAAATTTAAAAACGATGTTATTTGGTTTAAGAAAAATTGGTATCTATACAAGTTAATAAAACTGTATTCAGTTTTGCTGTAATTTTGTACCTCTGGTTTACGGGTTCGAACCTATGGTGGAACATTTTATTTTTAATTTTAAAACGAATTTCAGGGATTTAACGTAAATTAGAAACGGTGTTAACTCTGTTAAATCACTTGAATTAATCTGGTTTAGTCAAATTAAATTGATGTTTAAAATTGTATTTAGTTTAAGTTGGTGTTTTAAATAATGTAAGGGGGCATTTTTTTTTCAATTAAATTTGAAAGTTGTGACTTAAATGACAATTTCATGTTTAAAAATTTATGGCACATATTTTTTTACTAAAACAATTTCGACAAAATACCAACAATATACAGAAAAGAAAAAATGCTTATTTGTGGAATAGCCATAAGAAAAGGAAAATTAGATTTTAAGAGAGAAGGAAGAGAGAGATAGGAAAAGAAATGAAGAGAGAGAAGGACATTTTGGCTAGTTAGTTAATTTTGAATTTTTGTGTAGCTATAGGGTGCAATTTCCCAAAGAAAAAAGACCAAGTCTCATCATCTTATTGGATCTACGCTTTTTTATGTATGCATTCACGGGACTTACTGTTCATTCTTAGAAAAAGTAATTCCAAATGATAGACTTGGTCATATGACAAGAAAAGTTACTATTTGGATGTCTACGATCGATTAATATGTGGAATCGTATATTGATCTTCTTTTTTTTGAAATTCTTTAAATCGTATATTGATCTTCAGTTGAAACAAAATAGTGCTTTCTAAATTATTTGTATATTGATCTTCAGTTTGAAAACCAGTAAAACCACATAGGAGTTTTTTTTAAAGCTCAACTCACACATTTTATTAAGTTGGGCGAGTTTTTAAATAATTGCAAGTTGCAACTGTCTTCTAATATCCACGTAATGAAAGTTTTTTTTTTCATTGAGAATTCATCATCTATATAAGAGACCAACGACTTCAAAGTTCAAGGGCACAGCAACATGAGCTTGTTTTGGATCGTAGGTTTGTGGGTTATAGCCTTAGTTGCTGTGAGGATTAGCCATTGGTGGTACCGGTGGTCACACCCCAGGTGTAATGGCAAGTTACCTCCGGGATCAATGGGCTTCCCAATCATCGGAGAGACCTTCCATCACTTTAAGCCTCATGGATTCTACGAGATCTCCCCATTTCTGAAGAAGAAGATGTTAAGGTGAAACTCTCTCTCTCTCTCTCTCTCTCTCTCTCTCTCTCTCTCTCTCTCTCTCTCTCTCTCTCTCTCTCTCTCTCTCTCTCTCTCTCTCTCTCTCTCTCTCTCTCTCTCTCTCTCTCTCTCTCTCTCTCTC